TTTAATTATAAAGGAATATTTTTCCAAGAGTCTATCAAAGGCCTTTATTTATTAAGGACATTTTTTCAAGGGTCTATTAGAGATGTGATTTTTAAAGAATATTTTTTCAAGTTACTATCAGAAGCAGGTATTTTAAAAGAATATTTGTTCAAGGGTCTATCAAAGACGTGGATTTTGAAAGAATATTTTTTCAAGGGTCTATTAGAGGCTTTGATTTCAAAATAATATTTTTTCAAGGGTCTAGCAGAGGCCTTGATTTATTAAGGAATATTTTTCTCAAGGTTCTATCAGAGGCCTTTATTTGTTAAGGAATATTTTTTCAAGGGTCTATTAAAGACCTGGATTTTAAAAGAATATTTTTTTAAGTAACTATCAGATGCAGGTATTTTAAAAGAATATTTTTTCGAGGGTCTATCAAAGGCGTGGATTTTTAAAGAATATTTTTCAAGGGTCTATTAGAGTCTTTGGTTTCAAAATAATATTTGTTCAACGGTCTAGCAGAGGTCTTCATTTATTAATGAATATTTTTCAAGGGTCTATCAGAGGCGTGGATTTTTAAAGAATATTTATCAATGGTCTATCAGAGGCCTTTGTTTATTAAGGAATATTTTTTTCAAAGGTCCATAGAGGCCTTTACCTATTAAGGAATATTTTTTCAATGCCCTATCAGAGGCCTTTATTTGTTAAGGAATATTTTTCCTGGGTCTATCAGAGGCCTTATTTTTTGACGAATATTTTTCGGGGTCCACAAAAGACATTTTTAACGGATTATTTTTTCCGGGTCCACAAAAGGCATGGATTTTGTAAAGGTATAATAAATTAAATATTTTCATGATGTTCCTCTGTGCGTATAACTAACGTCATAAAGTATACGCCTTAGGTGACACACTACTAAATCTCATGAATTAATTACAATTAGCTCCCGATAATTATTTGCATAATTCCTACTGTTTATAAAATATACATATAATTAAAATATATTGCTTAATTACCAGGCAGCTGTATAAAATAATCACTGCTATTAAAAGAAGAAGAAAAACCAAATAAGCCATACTTATTTACATACACACACAAATGTTTATAATTATGCTAAATATATGATAAGTTTCCATGATATTGCCTAAACAAAATAAAAAAAAAACCCTTATCATAAATTTCCACATGAATGACTAACTACCTATCTGTCTGTATGTCTGCTGGTCTCTAATTCCTCATGATATTAGAGATTGTTTGTACTTAATTTTTTATTCACCTCTTTTTGTGAGACATTTTATTTAAATCCCCCATTCTTCTTCTTCTTTTTCTGGTATTTTTCATTTCATGTCTGGCCGTACGTATGGAACAAATGATGATAACAATAAAAAAACAATTCACTCTGAACTGAACTGAACACTCAAATCCCTGCTGGTGATATGATAACACGGGCAAATACGGCACAACACAACCAAAACAACAACAACAATGATGCTGCTGTTGCTGACGACGACTACGACAATGATGAAACCTCTCAACGACAATACATTAATCTTTGATATCTGAATGTTTGCAACAATGACACCATACCACTAACAACAACAACACAACCACCGCCAACACATCACAACAACAATAACAATGCTACAATGTCGGCGCTAACATTGTTGACGACTTCTCATCTGTGTCTAACTTCGTGTGTGTGTGTGCTTCGATGTTCGTCTCTGTATAAATAATATTGTGTGGATTTCTTTACTCATTCACTCACCTTTACTCTCCACCTCTCCCCACTCTCTCACGCCATAACATTTCTCAATCCCATACAACCAACTGTGAATTCTAACATATTTTCACCGGCGGATGTAAATTAATGCCATCAACATAAATCCAAACAAACACACAACTCTTGCCTCATATGCACACACACACACACCGATACACTGATACATGTCTTAACTACTGTCTGTACATTCACAATAAATCCGTTAAATAATGTTATTGTATAATATATATAAACGAACGAATGTGTGGGGGAATGCCTCTCTCTCTCTCTCTCCCAATCACACACTCCCTCTCTATTACTGCACATGTCTGTGTCACTGTGTGTTCGTTACATATTTGTTGTTATGACAATGATAAAATCATATTTCCATTTTCCTGCATTCACTGGCGTGCTCATATCTGTCATAACTATTCATGTAAATACACTCTCACTCACTAACTCATTCTCCTCGTTGTCGCCCACCTCCCTCCCTCTCATAAACTTATTTCAACAACTCTTAACTAAAGCAGAAATGCAAACACACGAAGAGTTACTCGAGGATATCAGAGATGATACCGGCGTTAACATAATACCCGACAAAGGTAAGTGATGCAAATTTTGTTTTGTATGTGTAGTTGTTGGTATTGCTGATGCTGCTAATGTTGTTGTGTGTGTTATCAGCAACAGTGGCAATAGCAGCAACAGCATCAGTATAGAGAGTGGCAATAACAGCTGGTGTAGAAATAATTGGGAGGTATTAAAAAAAGAAAAGGGTTATTGAGAAAGGCTTCTAAATAGGTTGGGAAAAGATTTTTTAGGACCAACAATAGGCGAAGGTTTTTATACCCTTCACCACACAGTGGAACAGGGTATTATGTCTTTGTGCATATGTTTGTAAAAGGCAAAAGGAATCGAGATAGACCCATGGTTCCTTTTGAGAATATGAATAGAATCACTTTCTGAGTCGATTTATGCATGTCCGTCCGTCCGTCCATGTATTTTTGTGAACAAAGTACAGGTCACATTTATGATCCGATTTGGATGGCACAGCTCATTTGTTTGGCCCAAGGACGAACCCTATTGAAATTGGGCAAAATCGGTTCAGATTTCGATATAGCTCCCATATATATTTTCGTCTGATTTAATGTAAATGGTCCACCAATGTCCCTATATATCTTCCGATTTGCACGAAATTTGGCACAGCGTACTGAATTGAGTTTAAAACGATGTGTGTTAGGTTTACTGAAAATCGGATAAAATTTGGATACAGCTCCCATATATATTTTCGTTCGATTTAATGTAAATGATGCACCAAAGTTCCTATATATGTATCGATTTGCACGACATTTGGCACAGCGTAATGAATAAGGTCTAGAATGATATGTGTTAAGTTTCCTGAAAATCGGTCCAGTATAGATATAGCTCCCATATATATTTCGTCCGATTTAAGGTATATGGTGTACCAAAGTCCCTATATATCTTTCGATTTGCACGAAATTTGGCATAGCGTAATAAACTAGGTCTAGAATGATGTGTGTTAAGTTTCCTGAAAATCGGAAAAGATTTAGCTATAGCTCCAATATATATTTTCGTCCGATTTAGTGTAAATGGTGTATCAAATTTGGCATAACGTACTGAACTAAGTTTAAAACGATGTGTGTCGAATTTCGTTTTAGGATTCTGTTGAATATACCCAAAGTGGTTTAAAAATATTTTTATACCCTACACAACTATGTTGTCAGGATATTATAGCTTTGTGCAGCCCCAAGAGTTTATAACGCCGCGAAATATTGGTCCTAGACCCACGTTTAAGTATACCGATTGTCATATCTCGACTAGCTGAGTCGATCTAGACATGTGTGTCCGTCCGTCCGTCTGTCCATTATAATTTGTAAACACGATGCAGGCCACAGTTATGAACCAATCTTCACGAAATTTTGCATGTAGGAAGGGTTCGGCCCAATGAAGATCCATATTGTTTTTGGTAAAGATCGATCAATATTTAGGGGATGAAATAAACCAAATACTTAATTTTTGTCGGTTTTTCTGGTCGCTCCAGAGGCCGTAATTATGGCCCAAATATCGCGAATTTTTACATGCAGAAGAGAATCGGACCAAAGAATAAGCATAAATAACTATGTTGTCAGGGTATTATAGCTTTGTGCAGTACCAAGAGTTTGTAACGCCGCATAATATTGGTCCTAGACCCACCTTTAAGTATACCGATCGTCATATCCCGACTAGCTGAGTCGATCTAGACATGTGTGTCCGTCCGTCCGTCTGTCCATTATAATTTGTAAACACGATACAGGCCACAGTTATGGACCAATCTTCACGAAATTTTGCACGTAGCGTTGGTTCTGGCCAATGAAGACCCCTATTATTTTTGGTAAAGATCTGTTAATATTTAAGGAATGAAATGGACCAAATACTTATTTTTGTCGGTTTTTCTGGTTGTTCCAGAGGCCGCAATATAGCCCAAATATAGCGATTTTTACATAGAGAAGAAAATCGGGCCATAGAATAAGCATGCCTGGTTTGATAAAGATAGGCCAATATTTAGCGGGTCAAATGGACGCTAACTTTTGTGTAAAAAATTACAAAATTTGTTTTCTATGGGGTATAAATTTACCCGATAAGTTGATAGTATATCCAAGGGGAGTTGTTGGCCTTTAAATTGATACCAATCATATTGTCCGATGTGGGAGTTACACTTAAACATTTACAGGTACTGACGTATTCAGATATTATTTACCACACTGGAGGGCGGAAATATAGCGCTGATCGCTTTAAAATGTTCCCGGAGGTTCCAGTTATTGTCAAGGACAACGTCTATAATTTTTGGTGATGATCAGATAATAATTTTGGGATGAAGTGGACCGAAAACTTAATTTGTTTGTGTTTTTTTTTCGAGATGATCGCAACACAAACCACGGTGAAGGGAATCTGTGCAAGTAATTAGAAGGACTGTACTGAATATTAGTATTCGGAGAATTTGTCAGTGTAAGGAAGAGGTTCTCTTGAACTCTAATCGGGCAAGGGGTGCAAATATTACGAAATATTGGCCAGGCTCGAAATAAACATCCGCAGAAAGTTAGAGTTCCGTGGTAGTTCTGCCGGGTATCCTATGGTCGGCTCCGTCCGACTATACTGTTCCGCTCACTGGTTTTCTTGGGGATCAACAATAGGCGAGGTTTTTATACCCTAAACGACTATGTTGTCAGGGTATTATAGCTTTGTGAAGCCCCAAGAGTTTGCAACGCCGCGAGATATTGGTCCTAGACCCACCTTTAAGTATATTAGATATTATTTAGTAACCCATTACCACACTGGAGGTCGGAAATATTGCGCTGATAGCTGAAGTTCCAGAGAAGGTCAAGGACAACGTCCATAATTTTCGGTGATGATCAGTTAATAATTTTGGGATGAAATGGACCGAAACTTAATTTGTTTGTGTTTTTTCGAGTCGACTTATTGGCCACAATTTTAAGCCGAACATCACAACACAAGTCACGATGAAGTGAATATGTATACGTAATTAAAATGGCTATACTGAATATTAGTACTATTCGGAAAATATGTCAGAGTAGGGACCTCTAATCGGGCAAGATGATGCAACTATCTCCAAATATTGCACAGGCACGGAATAAAAAATTCGCTGAAACTTAGAGTTCCGTGGTAGTTGTGTAGGATATCGTATGTTTGGCCCCGTCCGACTATACTGCTCCGCTCACTGATTTTAAAATATATTTCCAAGGGTCTATAATAATATGTTCTTCCTCAAATAACCCCTTTCTTGCATTTTCAGCATGACTATAACAATGCTCGTTAAAATTCCAACATTAAAGCAACAGCTACAACAACAGCAATTGTATTAGCAACAACAATGATAAAAGTAATATTGTACAGGAAAAAAAAACAACAACAACAAATTACATATTTATGAATTATTCTAAATAATTCAATGGCGAACAGCTACATATCTCAACAGCTATGAAGAAGAAAGAAATAAAACACAATTGAAATGGAGATAGAGGAATACGAAAAAAACTCTGAATCAGACCCAGACACAATATGAATAATAACAATTTGTGATTTCTCCCACATTTTTCCCCATTGTTGTTGCAGCTGTTGTAGTGACCTTTTCTTATCAGCCCGCCAGGCTACCATCATTTTCTTATTAAGATAATAGAATCATTTTTATTTTGTTTTTAGAATTTGATAATTTGTTGGAATTTTATTGTAATATCATTTTGTTTTGTGTTGGTGCGTCCGTGTGTTCTATTTCAGATCTTCCAAAATTTGGTGAACCATTACAAAATGTTACCGTACCTGTGGGTCGTGAAGCTGTACTGCAGTGTGTTGTTGATAATTTACAGACGTATAAGGTAAGAAAGATTTATTTTTATTTATTTTAAAATTATTTAAAATAAAAAACAAACATATGCACAAAGACATAATACCCTGTACCACAGTGTGGAGAAGGGTATAAAAAATTGAATAAAATTGAAGCTCTAACATGCAGAAGTAAATACATGTGCATGTTTATGGGTCATTGGTTCGTATGATTCCTGATTATGGTCAAGCATTGTGTATACGTCAGACTGGACGTATAACTTCCTCTATATGAAGCGTGGATTTTTTAAAGAATTTTTTCTTGGCTCTATATGAGCCATGGATTATTTAAATTTACATTTTTTAAGGCTCTATATAAAGCGTGGATTTTTTATTCGACATACCCACACTTACTTAACTTTCGTTCCATACCAGGCGCGTCGGTCTTTTGCGCAGTTTTTCCAATTTGAAAGATCATTTTCGGCGATGTTGTCTTCGACTTGATCTTTCCATCGTATTCTTGGTCTTCCCCTTCTGCGTGAACCATCAGTTGGTTCGCTTTTATATGCCTTCTGGGCTGGGGTATCTTCATCCATTCTCACAACATGACCTAGCCAACGTAGTCGCTGCAGCTCTATATAATCCATGGATTGTTTAAATTTAAATTATTTGGGACTCTATATAAGGCGAGGATTTTTTAAATAATTTTTTCAACATACCCACACTTACTTACTTAGCTGGCTTGTGACAGAACTTTCGTTCCATAAGCCGAGCTTGAAAAGATTTCCAGGCGCGTCGGTCTTTTACGCAGTTTTTCCAATTTGAAATACCATTTTCGGCGATGTTGTCTTGGACTTGAACTTTCCAACGTATTCTTGCCTTCCCCTTCTGCGTAAACCATCAGCTGGTTCGCTTTTATATGCCTTCGGGGCTGGGGCATCTTCATCCATTCTCACAACATGACCTAGCCAACGTAGTCGCTGCTGCTCAATACGTCTAACAATGTCGATGTCCGAGAATAGCTGGTATAACTCATGGTTCATTCGACGGCGATATTCACCGTCAACACAGATCGGCCCACAGATCTTTCGGAGAATTTTTCTCTCAAACACTCTATGAGCTGCCTTCGCAAGTACCCATGCTTCAGATCCGTATAACATCACGGGTAATATCAGCGTCTTGTAAAGTGTGAGTTTGGTCTGGCGGGAGGTGGCCTTGTTTCTGAACTGCTTACTTAGACCATTGCAGCATTTGTTGGTCATCACTATCCTTCTCCGAATTTCAAAACTGATGTCATTCGTTTTGTTTATGGCGCTACCAAGGTATATAAAATCTTTGACTACCTCGAAGCTGTAGTTCTTAAGTTCCACTGTTTGTCCGAGTCTACTAGACCAACTGATCACACAGATCTTTCGGAGAATTGTTCTCTCAAACACTACAGGAGCTACCTCATCTGCTTGCACAAGTACCCGTGCTTCAGATCCATATAACAGCATGGGTAGCATCAGCGTCTTGTAGAGTGTGAGTTTGGTCTGGCGGGAGGTGGCCTTGCTGTTGAGTTGTTTGCTCAGACCATAGTAGCAGCTTTTGGTCTTCACTATCCTTCTCCGAATTGCAAAACTGATATCATTCGTTTTGCTTATGGCATTAACAAGGCATATAAAGTCTTTGACTTCCTCGAAGCTGTAGTTCTCAAGTTCCACAGTTGGCCCGAGTCTACTGGACGTCTTGCGCGTTGATGCCATCAGCTTGGTCTTCTCGCCGTTTACTGCCAGACCCACTTTGGCAGACTCCTTCTCAATTTGTTCAAAGGTGGTTGCTACCGCTCTCAATGTTTGACCCCTTATGTCGATGTCATCGGCGTAGGCGAGTAACATGTGTTGTTTGGTGTACACAGTGACATTTCTGTTCACTTTTGCCTCTCGTATGACCTTTTCCATCACGATGTTAAATAGATCATACGATAAACTATCACCATGTCTGAATCCTCATTCGGTATTAAATGATTCCGAGAGGTCCTTTCCGACTTTAGCTGCTGATCTTGTGCCCGTTAAAGTTATTCAGTATAGCCTTTATACACCTCTGGACAGATAGGGCTGTCGAATAAGGGTTTATAGTCGACGAATAGGTGGAATGTGTCAATGTGTTTTTCGTGGGTTTTTTCAGATTTTGGCGCATAGTGAGAATCTGGTCAATGATGGATTTGCCAGGTCTGAAGCCACATTGGTGTGTTCCAATAATGTCATTGACCATTGGCTTCAGTTGTTCACTCAGTACGATGGATAGCACTTTATATGCGATGCGAAGGAAACAGTTTCCTCTATAGTTGGCACATATCGTCTTGTCTCCTTTTTTGGGCACGGGACACAGAATACTGAGGATCCAATCATTAGGCATGCATTCCTCCAGCCAAATTGTACTAATCAGCTCGTGCATGCTCTTTACCAGCATCTGACCACCAATCTTGAATAGTTCGGTTGGTAACCCATCGGCACCTGCTGCTGTATTATTCTTCAGCCGATTGATTGTTATTCTGACTTCATCTTGGCTAGGTGGTATGCACTCTATACCGTCATCACTTATTGGTTCTGGGGTATCTTCTTCAATGCCAATATTTGATACCAGAAGCTTTTCAAAATGCTCATTCCAGATTCTCAACACGCTTTCTGTATCTGTAACCAGGTTGACATATTCATCTCTACAGGAGGATGTGCCTGCATCAAAACCCTCGGTTTAGTGTTTTATCCGTTGGTAAAATTTGCGGACTTCATTCTGACTCCTGTACATCTCGATTTGCTCACGCTCACGTTTTTCTTGTTTTTTCTTCCTTAGTTTCTGAAAATACGTTTCTCCTCTCTCCTTTTCTCCCGATAGTTCTCCATCGCATTACCTGTTGCTACTGTCTGCAGGGTTGCCCTATACGCTGCGTTTTTCACATCAGTAGCATTACGACACTCCTGATCGTACCATGGGTTTCTTGGCGATGGTTTTGGAACCCAAGAGTTGCTTTTGCTGCAGTTTGTAGGGAGTGTGCAATTATCTGCCATTGTGCTTCTATATTATTATCGGTACCAGGGGATGCTTTCGTCAAGCAGATGGGTAAGTTGAGCGGAGTAGGCTTCTGCTATCTGTTGTGTTTGCAGGTTTTCGACGTCAAATTTCCGTGTTACATTAGATCGCACCTTTGCTGCTACATTAAGACGGGTGCGTACCTTGGCTGCCACAAGGTAATGGTTCGAATCGATATTCGCTCCCCGGATCGATCGGGCGTCTAAAACACTGGATGAATGCCTTCCGTCTATCACAACATGATCGATTTGATTTCTCGTTGTTTGGTCGGGTGAAATCCAAGTGGCCTTGTGTATATCGAGATGCTTGAATCAAGTGCTGCTAACTACCATGTTTTTTGCTGCCGCGAAGTCAATCAACCTCATGCCGTTGTCGGATGTTTCTTCATGGAAGCTGAATTTTCCGACGGTGGGGTCAATGATATTTTCCCTTCCGATTTTTGGCTTAAAATCTCCTAGCAGAATTTTAATGTCATGGACAGGGCAACGGTCAGTTGCTGTTTCTAGGCGCTCGTAAAATATATCTTTGGTCTGTTCATCTGTATCTTCGGTCGGAGCATGGGCGCAAATGAGACTGATGTAGAAGAAATTCGCTTTTATACGCTTTTATACGGATTATAGCAATTCGCTCATCTACTTGAGTGAATCTGGAGATGAGGTCTTTTATTCTCCCGTTAACCATAAATCAGCAGCCAAATTCAGGTCTCGTTTCATGGCAGTTATAATACAGGGCGTAATCATCTGATTTACTTACGCCAGTTCCTTTCCATCGCATTTCCTGTAAGGCAATAATATCGGCTTTGTACTTCTTGAGTACATCTGCCAAAGCGAACACTGCTCCTGTTTTGTACACCGTGCGCACATTCCAATTGAGATGAAAGAGGGACCAAGATAAGCCTAGACTTCGCCATGTTAAAGCCAATCAGAGCCGTTGCTTGGTATTTATCATACCCTACGCCACCCAAACATACCCACAAGTCATGGATTTTTGAGGCATACCCACAAGGCGTGGATTTTTTAAATAGGAATTTGTAGCATACCACCAAGGCGTGGATTTTTTAAATAGGAATTTTTAGCATACCACCAAGGCGTGGATTTTTTAAATAGGAATTTTTAGCATACCACCAAGGCTTGGATTTTATACATTGGAATTTTTAGCATACCACCAAGGCGTGGATTTTTTAAATAGGAATTTTTAGCATACCACCAAGGCGTGGATTTTTTAAATAGGAATTTTTAGCATACCACCAAGGCGTGGATTTTTTAAATTGGAATTTTTAGCATACCACCAAGGCGTGGATTTTTTAAATTGGAATTTTTAGCATACCACCAAGGCGTGGATTTTTTAAATTGGAATTTTTAGCATACCACCAAGGCGTGGATTTTTTAAATTGGAATTTTTAGCATACCACCAAGGCGTGGATTTTTTAAATAGGAATTTTTAGCATACCACCAAGGCGTGGATTTTTTAAATAGGAATTTTTAGCATACCACCAAGGCGTGGATTTTTTAAATAGAAATTTTTAGCATACCACCATGGCGTGGATTTTTTTAAATAGGAATTTTTAGCATACCACCAAGGCGTGGATTTTTTAAATTGGAATTTTTAGCATACCACCAAGGCTTGGATTTTATAAATTGAAATTTTTAGCATACCACCAAGGCGTGGATTTTTTAAATAGGAATTTTTAGCATACCACCAAGGCGTGGATTTTTTAAATAGGAATTTTTAGCATACCACCAAGGCGTGGATTTTTTAAATTGGAATTTTTAGCATACCACCAAGGCGTGGATTTTTTAAATTGGAATTTTTAGCATACCACCAAGGCGTGGATTTTTTAAATTGGAATTTTTAGCATACCACCAAGGCGTGGATTTTTTAAATTGGAATTTTTAGCATACCACCAAGGCGTGGATTTTTTAAATTGGAATTTTTAGCATACCACCAAGGCGTGGATTTTTTAAATTGGAATTTTTAGCATACC